GCCCCGTCCCCGTCCCCGTCCCCGTCCCCATCCCCGTCCCCGGTTAAATACCCATCCCCGTTTAATTATTTTTAAAAAAATTAACATTTTAAATATTATTGTAAAATCTAAACGTGAGCAATCAAACACTTAGGTTAGGGTTTCAATTTTTCAAATCTGATACAACAACCCCTTTCCGCTTCTCTCTCTTACTCTTCCCATTCACATTCACCTTCTCCCATTTCACCCCATCTGCCACCGCCGTCACCGCCGCACCCGAGGCTTCCGGCGACATCGACTTCATCCGAGCAAGCTGCAACACCATGCTATACCCGGACCTTTGCCTCTGACGCTTCGCCGCCGCGGTGCACCGCAGTCACGCTAACCTCGCCCGCGTGGCCGTCGCTGTCTCCCTCTCCAAGGCCCACCACGCCGCCGCCTACCGCACCAGCCAGTCAGCCACGGAGCCACCGCACCAACCACAGGTACTCTTTCTGCTTCACTTCTGCGTGTTTCAATTTGGTTGAATTTGCAAAACAAAATCCTTATTTCAAAGAAGAAAAAAAATACTGTAATTTTTACGGGTACGGGTACGGGTATACCCGATACCCGACGAGGACGGGGATGGGGATGAAAACCACATACCCGGCGGGTACGGGGACGGGGAAGGGGATAGATTTGACTCGCGGGGACGGGGACGGGTTTCATAAACCCCGTACCCGCCCCGCCCCGTTGCCATCCCTACTAAAGAGAAAAGGGAGAGCCTACCAGAAAGAATTAAAAGATTTTGAATAAAAAGTAAAAAGGTTGCTCCATTGCAAATTCTTGTTCTTTGTGTTTTGTATGGTAGAAGTTGTTTTTTTCGTAGATATATTGAACCACTTAATGGTTGGGTCCTCTTCTCTTAACTTTTTTTTGTTATGGCATTTATCTGTATAATTACATTTTGCGTTTTATGTTTTGATGAAATACCTCGTGTTTCTCCATTTTTGACACTGTTTTTATGCAGGCTCTGTTTTCGTGATTTTCTTTTTTGTTTAGGACCAACAAATGTGATTATTAACGATAATTAATAAAAACAATTGTGTTATAAAAATATTGTATAAATAATATAACTGTAAACATAATATTTAAATATTTTTATTAAAAGAAATAATATTTTTGACATAATTTCTGAATGAAAAAAAAAGAAGAGAGAAATTCTACGGTACCCACTATAATTGTGGGATACCGGAACAGTCATTTTATTTTTACTTTTTTTTTTATTGTAATTACTTGTTTTATTTTTATTTTTATTTTTATTTAATATTTTTAATAATTTATTTGTATAAAATTTTCTATATCTTTATATTATTTTTATATTTTTTAATTTATATCTTAATGTAACATCTATTATAATTAAAAAGTTTAATATTAATATTTTGTTAATATGTTTTAGTTTTTCTTTGGTGATAATTTTTTTTTTAAATTTATAGTATAAATTAGTTTTTCAGTTGTATTATTTATTTTTTTTATTTAATTTTTTTATAATATTATTATAATTTTTTGTTTTTGATTTTTTGATTTTGTCACATATATAAACAAAATTTGTTATAAAAATTGATCTT